TGTGATATGCAGTCACTCAAAGACTCAACCTAAGAGAGTAGCCGCCATCGTAAATGTTGCTGGTCTCTATGTCATGGAAAGAGCTTTAGAGGGTCTCACACTAGCAATCAAGTATTATGGCACAGAAATGACAAAGGTCACTTTAGCTTGCAACTCACTGGCCAGAATTAGTCAGTCATCTCTAACTAACCATAGGAGAAGCTAAGAAATGCAAACCTACTATGTAGCACAAGGAGAAGAAAACCATGTATGGGTGAACAGCACTCAGGACCACCACAGTTCTCAATAGCCATTTCCATCATTTTCCCCCTGTAGACCAATTGCTCAAGGAACTTAAAATATTTTTCATTCTCTTCTTCCCTTGTTCAGATCCTGCTCATTCTTAATTCTTAACTCAGTTATCATCTTTTCAGTGAATTGTTTCCTAATCTTTCCAGACAGATATATTCTCCCTCTGTTCTAGTTTCTAATAACTCTTTATTTTGAGATAATCATTTTTCTCTATTATTATGCATTTGGATCCTAAAAGTCAAGATGTGTGTTTTACTCACAATTGAACATGAGATTTTTTCAATTAATGTGTAAATCCAATAAGATTATATTATATTCACTTGGAGATGCATTTTTTTTTTTGGTCTGGCTTCTTTTATTACCTATTTATTGGGAGAAGTTTTATTCCTCATATTATGTGTAAGGTTGGATATATATTTACATGTATGGTATATGTCTATTTATATATCTTATGTATATATACATAGAGTTAGCAGCTCCTAGCTACTATGGTATAAATATAGAGTAAATTAATTATGAATCTGCCTTATTCTCACTCTTTTCACTGTGAAATGCTGGCACTGCTATTATAACTCTTTTCAGTCTTCTTTTTTGAAAAATGATATGTTTGACCACTGCCCTTTGGTACCAGTGAGATGGATACTCAAGAGATCTTTTGTAAATGAAATATTTTAAAGAATGTCCATAAAAGAAAACTGACAAGAGGAAAGTTAAAGTAGTAAAATCTTGTCCTTCTGTTCTTCCTCTTTCTTTTACCAAAAATTTATTGGACACTTGTTCTGAATCTGGTACTATGGTAAGACACAATGTTGACTTAGGCACAAATCCTGTCTTGGGGAGATCTTACAGTCCAGAAGGAGGAATGACACATTCAACTCCCTCCAATAATTGGCCTGGAAATCACTATTTCCCCAACTATACACCTCGCCAATGTCTACCATGCTTTAAATCTCAGCTTAGATGTTTTATCCTCTGGAAAGTCTTCCTTGATTTCTCCAGTTTAATCTAGTACTTTAGTAGTACTGTGGAGGGAGTAATTAATTATTATTGGAGAAAAGGCACAGAGATGAAGCTTTTACAGAGAAGATTGAAAAAAGTCTGAAGAATGAGTAGGCGTTCACCAAGAAAAGCAAGAATGAAATAAATGGTGCTCATCCAAAGGTGCCAAATGATTTGTTGAGCATAGGAATCTTTGATTATATTAGTATTACTGGAGCATATTGTAAAAAATGTAATGAGAAAAGAGGATGGCAGGTGTGCAGGAACCTAATTCTGAAGGATTTATATGCCATGCTGTGCAGAACTTCTAAAGGATTTCAATAAGTGAAATGGCAGCATCAGATTTACTTTCTAGAAATATCACTTTTGCTTACGTATGGAGAATCAGCTTGAGGCAAGTGATATTGAAGGCAGGAGAAGTATTAAAAGGCATTTCCAAAGGTTAAGAAAAAGATAATTAGACATTAAAGTAACTTGAGGTTACTTTAGAAATAACATGGAAGAAAAATAGAAGAAGGAAATAGATATTTAGCTGAAAAATAGAAGAAAGACAATAGAAGAAGGAAATAGATATTTAGCTGAAAAATAGAAGAAAGACATTTAGGATCAAAAATAGAAAATATACGGTGATAGCCTGCTTGTAGCGGGCAAAGGAGAAGAAGAAATTGAGAATGTCATTCAGTTTTCTGACTGGGATGACTGAATGGCTGAAGACCATAATGGAGGTAAAATGGACAGGAGGCAAAGCAGGCTTTGAAATTGAGTTAAGTTGGGAACCCCAATTTTCTCTCTAAAGAAAGGATTGACATTTACTGTAGAGAATAAAAAAGTAGTTGACTAGAGATTTTGAGTGGAGTGACACATGTTTTGAATTACTACTGAGGGAAATGGGAATGGGAGCTAAGAGAAGACAAGTAAAACCTTCATGAGCAATGCAGAGAGGCAAGCTGAAGTTGAAGGATATAAACATTCTGCAGCCCCAATCCGCAGAGTTGTATTACTTTTTTCAACCAAACTCGGCCTCAGAGTACAAGGGTGGACAATTTGTATGATTGATCCAGGGTTAAGAGATGTGACAATAGCATGCGGTTGCAAAGGAGTGGAGAGTGTTTGTGAATCTATGTAGGGAAGGAAATTAGGCAATTAAGGAATAACATGGTATCAAGAGGGGTTCCAAGGACTCTACAATGTAGGAGGGCAGGTGTAAAGAAAGTGGTTCCAGAAGGGAGGCAAAAAGTCAAGGTGTGGACAAAGAGCAGGGGAGCAGAATTTCTGATTGCTAAAGTGGGGAGAAGTTTTAGTTCTTCAGAAGGTCCAGGTGGAAACATGAAAAAGAGCTAGGGGAGAAGAGTGGAGGCCAAGAATCTTTCTGGAATTGAAGGGATTGTTGATGGGTGTGAAAGGTATTGGAGAGTTCTCCCATACAGACATTAAAATTGTTTAGGATAATAACAAGTATTTAGGGAGAAAGAAGCTGTGTTCCAGGTGGCAATCTTGGTGAATATGTGAGCCATAACCTGGTGACCAACAGATGACATATGTAAGGATACAAAGAGGGTGTTTTTTGTGAACAAGTAAACTGATCTTTGGTGTAAGAAGATTTTATTTTATTTTTGACTACAGTGTAAGCATAAAAAGATCTCTTAGGAGAAACTTGAGCTTTCTGGAAGAGAATGGTCAAAATGAGGAAGGGGATGGGGACAGTTCATCACTTTCCCACTTGCGTGATACTGATGTGTAAGAGAATGAAAGATGTTTACTCAAGATGCTGGTAGAAAAGTACTGCCTTTGGGGAAAAGCCAATTTTGAATTGGAGCAAGGAGGTGGAGGGAACATTTTCAGTTCTGTAAAGAGGTTGAAGATGTAATATTTATGTCTTGAGATTAGTTCAAAGAAGAAGAGGGATTGGGAAGGTGGAACAAAGAATGGAATGGGTGTGATAGAAGTGGCCAAAGATGGCCCCTGTGGCTCCCGTGTTGTTTACTTCTTCATAGCAGGTTAGGACCATTAGCCCAAAGCCTCCTGGCACCAAACTCAAATTCTTACACATCTAATTGCTTTAAATATAGCCCAAATAAACATACTTTTAGCTATTTAGAACCTGCCTAATTTACGTATCCTATGAAATTGCACCCAAAGTTGGCTAACCATAAATAAGACAAACCCTACAGCTCTACAGCAACCCAAACTGCTGCTGCCTTTAGGAGTTCTCTGACCCAGAGACTCCTCACTTTGCTGTTGTATGATGTCACCTTGATATGCAAGCCACCTCTCTAGTTTCCCCTTCTCCTCCAGGAGGTCGCTTGCCCTATTCCCCTTCTGGATGCTGGACTCATGTCACTGACTCTGGAAGGTCTATTGATGGGAGACTTCCCCCTTATACAGCTGTGTCCAAGCACCACCCATTAAAGCTTGTGTGTTACTGCTTCTCCTGATCCTGCCTTTTCTTGATCAAGCTGTAAATCCTTGAACTTTCCACAGCAGAGAGGACAGAGCAAAGAGCCTGAGTGATGGTAGTCAATTACAGGGATGGATGACATGGATGTAATTGACTGACCCTAAACTTCCAAACTTCAGTGCCCAGTTATTCTGATGGTAGACCTTTGGGGGCAAAAGATGGGTAGAAATCTACAGGGGCTTCGTTCTGCTTATAAAATATGAGTACTAACTCCATCTAACCAAGGAAAATATAACGTTAACTGATAAATAGGGATGTCTTAACTCTAACTCTTCAGAGAAAGGAAAGATAATTATGGGGGAAGATTGTAATTAACACTGTATCCTTCAACCAAATTGATATGTTCCTAAAAACTTTTGTGAAAATTGATATATTACAATATATCATATTTTATGAGCAATAAATTTATGTAGATTTTCATATGCATTGGGGACAACTGTATATCTTTAGGTATCCTATGAGGTATTCTTTTTCAAAATGAAGGTTGTGTATTTTATTTATTTCAAGTGAGGCATCTAGGGAAGTTTTTAATTAATACATCGATATCAAGCGGTAATACAACAAATGTAAAAGTACATTCAAAATAGAACTTAGTATTCATATTAGTTTCCTATTGCTGCTGTAACAAATTGCCAGAAACTTAGTGGATTAAAAAACTGATTTATTCTCTTACAGTTCTGGAGGTTGGAAATTTAAAATGGGTCTTACAGGCTAACATTAAGATGTTGGCAGACCTGTGTCCTTTCTGGAAGATCTAGGAGCGAATTGACTTCCTTGGCTTTTCCAGCTTCTTGAAGCCATCTGCATCTTTGGCACATGGCCCCTTCAGAGGGCATCACTTCCACCTCTCCTTCCATTCTCACATCTCCTCTCTATGACTTCGGCACTCTTACATCCCTCCAATGAGAACTCTTCTGTTTACATTGGGCTAACCTGTATAATTCAGAATCATCTTCCCTTCTCAAGATCCTTAATAACATCTGCAAAATACTTTTTGCCATATAAGTTAACATATTCATTGGTTCCAGGGATTAGGATGTGAACATCTTTTGGGGGGGCCATTATTCTGTCTACTACAGTATTGAATGCCCCCCCTTTTTTTGATGAGGAAGATTGTCCCTGAGCTAACATCTGTTGTCAATCTTCCTCTTTTTGCTTGAGGAAGATTGTCCCTGAGCTAATGACTGTGCCAATCTTCCTCTATTTTGCATGTGGGATGCTGCCACAGCATGGCTTGATGCGTGGTGTGTAGGTCTGTGCCCAGGATCCGAACCCGCGAACCCCAGGCCACTGAAGCAGAGCAAGCGAACTTAACTACTATGCCACTGGGCCAGCCCCATTGAATGCCCATTTTGAAGATCAAAGTCCTTTGGGATAAAGGTAAATATTAGTAAGTGGAAACTTAAAATTTTTTTCATAACTAAACATTTAAAAGAAGAATGATCATTAAAGTTTCATTTTAAGATTTTATAATAGTTATTGTCTGAATCTCAAAACACTGCCCAGGAACATCTGCCCCATTTTATACCACTGAATCTTACTCATTGTATAACAGATTGTATGACTGCTTCAGTGAGAGGTGAGTAAATGGATTTAGATAAAATAAGAACCAATTCGATCCTTTGTACAAAATGTTTCTTTAATTCTTATGGTTCTCTTTGAAAGTATTTTTTTTCACTTTCAACATGAATAGTTGGGTATATTTGGAACTCAAAAGTTCATTTAGAAATAAAATTTCTAAAATCATGCTAACCTGGGAATATGAGTTGAAGTGTGTACATGCGTTTGCATGTGTATATATGTGTATTGTTTACGTAAATATGTGAGTGCATGGCTGTGGTGGGTAAGTGTATCAAGGGGGCTTCATAAAGATGTTTCCCAATCCATTTAAAATAAGAAGAACTAGAATTCTCAGAGCTGGAATTTACTGTTATAAGATTTGCAGCCTGATTAGTGTCCTTTTATAACTGCAAGGGTTCCAATTATATTCCAATCTGTGCTGGTGTGTTTCCTTTGGGTTTGAAACTTCTATTGAGTTAACAGAGAGCTAGCCAATCTGACCCAATAGGGGAGGTAGCTAATGCCTTGCATCCTGTGGGTTCTCAACACAGTCAGCAAGTCATTCTGAGATGACACATGAGGGCTGACAAAGATTTAGTGTTTACCAGGTGGAGGTGAATTTAGCTGGGGAAAGAAGGGGTGAGTACAGGGAGGACCAGGTCGGGGGCAGAAAATACAGCTGACACTCACTTAAATTTTTGAATGTCCACCTGAATCTCATAAATCCTGGCATGGAGTTCGACAATATAACACTAGTTGCTTTAACCAAAATCAGAGCTATTAACCTATTGTACAAGCTTAATCAATACCCCCTGGTTTAATTTGGTGAACTAGCAGCAAAACCATAAAAACTCAACTTCTTTGCTTTGTGTTTTAAATTGACACTCAAAAATATGGTTGTTATGATTGCTGAACTTCCCTAAGCTAATGTGTTTCCTGAATTTAATTAAGATTTTAAAACTTTGTTATATCAAATTTTTAATAGGAAAAATCTATTTTTAAAGAAAATATGTGTATAGGTCAACATAAAGGCTTCTGTCATGCTTTTTGAAAGTTTAATTCTTTGTCAGTTGTGCCATTCTTCCTGCGAATGGAATACTAATAATTTCTGCCTGCAGAGAATCATGAAGACCTGGTAGTTAATGAAAACTACCTATGAAAAAGGACGAAAATCCAGCTCTTTCTGCTATCTAATTATCTCAGCATAATTAACTGTTTGCTAGATTTAGTGCCCAAATCCTTTTTTCCAAACTTAAATTTCATAATCCTTTTGATTGCACAAACATGATAGTCTATCATATATGTGAACTAGAGAGACCGCATAAGGAATAATTAAGTTCACCTGGATTGCTTTCTTTCTTTTTAACTTCATCTCCACCCTCTAAGCTTTGAATGCAAATTAAAAATATTGCTTCTTCTCAGACAATCACACCATCATTTCTCCCTTCTCACTAAGATGCAACCTCTAAGATGTGTCTAAATAAAAACAAAGAAATCACACATTTGAAGATAATTAGTGCTTTTGCTTGAGAAAGATTTATCCATTCTCAAGACATGTTTCTATGTCCATAGCAATCTGTGTTAATCATTTGGGTATCTCCAAACACTGATTAGAGATTTATGTTGTTTCCCCCCCAAAAGTATTAGTTCCTAATTCATTAGAAATTTTTAAGGTGTCAGGGGGCAAGAGAACAAATAGTCCAACATACTTTCTTCTTGACCACTAAGGCAAGTACGATGGAAGTCATAGAAAAGGCCAGTAAATGAGAAGAATGCAAATGTTCCTCAGATCCCATTGCTGTTTTGACACAGCAATTAGATTTGTGCAGAACAGCAAGATTGTTCCAATTCTATTCTCCCAAACATAAGTCTTAAAAAAAGAGGTTACATTTGTGACTGTAGCTCGTGGCGCATCCAATCTGGCATCCTGGAAATCCATATGTAAGCCACACTTATATCTTAAACCTGTCAAACAAATAAATGTACAGAAGCAGTAATTTATGTACTTTATAGACTGTTTTGCCCTTTTAGAGCAAAAGCCTAATTTTCAAGTGTTGCTATTTTAACTTCTGGCAGTGCCTGGGAGCTAACTGAGGTTCAAAATGTGAATTTTACAAGTAAAATGTGATTCAAAAATTGATTTACCCTGTTCTCACTACATGTGAGACAGAGAAGAGAAATGCTGGGTGTTTGCGAGCTTCAGGCAAGGGGAAACATATTGCTAAGTACAGAAGCCACGCAAAACTTTGCGGGTTTTCAGTTTAGAAGTGAACTTGAGCCTTTCCCAGTTCAAGTTCTGTTTAGGGCCGGCAAAACATGACTTTCTGATTCAAAGAAATAAGGCTTAAAAAGGCTTATAAAACAGGCTCGCAGGCTTCTTGTACATCAAATAGCTCTTACACAATGGCATTTAGATGATTTAAGTGTAAATGAATCAAAGACATATGGATTGCATTTCCCTTGAAATACGCATGGGTTTTAAAATGAAGGGAAAACACACTTGCCAAAATCCTTTTTGGGTTATGCTGCATCAAAAACATTTGGAAATGACTTTAAATGTTTGGAAGAACCCCAGACACCCGGTTCAGTCACCCTGGAGATTAAATCAGTGTCCTTCATCCAATGATAACTAGGCCCCTGTTTTGCAAAGATGGTTCTTAAAAAGTCAAGTCTCTAACCTGAAACTCCTGAAAACTGACTTTCCTGGTGTTTGAATTGTTAATTCAATGATAGGATCTTATTATGGAGTCTTGCCCAGAGACTAGGAATCCATTTTGTGTTATTTAAGCCACCAGAAGCACATTTCAATTTTACCCAATTTCTCAAATGTGGTTAAAAAGTTAAGTTCTCTCTGTTCTGGAGGTAAAAAATTAGGGGTTCTAAAAATCCAAAAGGAAATCAAGTTTTCAAGCTGAATGAAAGGGCTACATGATCAAGAAGATAAAATTGGAAAACTTGTTTGTTCTCGAAAATGTATTCAGGCACAAGTTCTGACATCATGTGGCTGTTAGCATACTTTAAAAAAAAAGGAAAGAAGAAGAAAGGAAGGAAGGAAACTGAATGGTAAAATGTCTTTGGAGATGAAAAGAGAGATTGTGAGGAAATGGAGAAATAAAGTAGGTTTAACGGAAATGGGTAGTTTCATGAAAATAGCTAAACAGAAATAAGAACAAAACACCAAGTACAACAAATTTAAAAAGGCTGATACACAGGAAGGTGATATGCTGAAATGAATGAAACATGGATTGGTACCAATGATAAACAAAACATCAAAAGGTACTAGAAGGGGGCTACACTATTGGAAGAAAATATGTTAGATGTTGAAATTAAGAAAAAACACAGGAAAATATCTAAACTGAGAGAAAGGCTACAAAGGCACTTAATAGCCGAGGAAAGAATAAGAAAAGACCATCAAATACATGTGAGGGGCTGTTATTTAAGTCTGTGCAGCCGAACAGCTTATATTAAAACTACTAGATCCGATTTCACATGCAGTTCTGATGTGAGAGGAAACAGCTTTCAAAACTGTTTAATGACCTCCTGATAGGAAGGTTAACAGGATTATCATGCAGTTCACTGGAGGGTGGACAGCAACACTCAGCGTGTCCCTCACTCAATGTGTGATTCCAGTATTCTCCTTTACAGGGAAGTGTAAAATCATTGTGCTACCCAAAGTCATTAGCTGAAAAGTTGGGATGCTTTTAATGAGAGAAGTTCAACATAAAAGGGAAATAAGGAAGGGAAGAAAACGGGTAATGAAACCTGAGCTCTTTTAGCTTAATTTTGCCCTACCTAACTATAGGGGTGTCTGGGGGCTGAACTTCTCTTGAGGTTTCAATTTGCTGTGGTCTGCTCTCACTTCTGACTAGGCTGCTTGCATCCTAAGTAACTAGTGTGACATTCTCTGCCTCTGACATGTTACTGCTCCTCTGTTCTGCTCTCCAGCCACTTCGTTGTTAAAGTGGGGTAATATTCCCCACCTTCCCTTCTGTTATCCAGACCACAAAGCAATACTGCTTTGCGCTGGCGGGGTCCTGTGGAGACTCTAATGAGAAGGGCCTCCCTCTGATAGTGCTGGCCTTAGGACCAGCTGGGTATGCAAGAGTCAGGATGGGGAAGGGAGGGAGGCAGTTCAGAGAATGCTCTGAGCAATGCTCATCAGTCACAGAATAACACAAGTCATTCCTTTTCTTTTTGGTTGACTCATTATTTTTGCCATAGACTTGGATTCTCTGATTTTTGACAAACTGTAGTGGTCAGGATAATTAGTGCCAGGTGATGTAACAAAGAACCCTAGAATCTTAGTGACTTTCCCCAATAAAGGTTTTTCTTCTGGCTAGTATCACAGTCTGTATGGCAGGCAGCTTCCCATTCTATGATTCTGGAATCCTACTTCTTCCGTCTTGTGGTGGCATCATCTTCTAGGGCCTCTTCAGAGTCCATTGCAGTATCATCTGTATTCAGCTGGCTGAGCAGCAAAGAGACAGGAAGATCACATGGTGCATTTTATGACCATGACTGGAAGTGGTGAACATTACTTCCGTGACATGGTACCAGTCTAATTGCAAAGGGTGCTGGGAAATGTGGTTTTCCTGAGTGCCCAGGAGGAAGAAGTGTGTTGGGTGAGCTTTTAGCCAGTCTTTGCCACATTGGTCAAGAGGTTTTTCCATCCCTGATTCAAATTAATGCTTAGTGGGTCCGTCTTCCCAGCCCTTACCATATGTTCGTTCAGATATGTCTGAGTTCACAAACATTATTTAATGTGGAAGCTGAGATTATTTAAGTATACACAGCTAATAAATGACAGAACTGAACTGTAACTCAAATTTGCCTGAATATCTGAATATCGAGTTATGTTCTCTCCCTAAATTTTACACTTTGGAGAGTAGCGATAGGGTTGACATCAGATTGGAAGGAACCTGACTCCTTTGCTTTGTACCCCTCGAATCCTCTGAGATACCAGAACCTCACTGGATCAAAAATTTGGTACAGGTGGTACCATAGCTAAAGTAGTTCAGGGTAATCCTTACAGAGGAAACCCTGAGGCTGATATTGTCTCACAGCGGCAGGGGAATGAAAAACACTGGGAAAGATGAAGACCCCGCCCCATCCTCCAAAGTGGGCCCAGTAGGATGGCCATGTCAAATAACCTCAGAAAATATCTTTAACTACCTTTCTTTTGACCAGAAATCTGAAGCAACAAGTCAAGGGAAGGCCATTGAGAAGGAAAGACAATGTAATATATGGGAGTGAGTCTGGATTTTAGCGTTGCTCTTAAATTGTAGCTTTGCTGTTTAGCAGCTGGGTGGGTATGGACGCATTGCTTAACCTAACAGAGCTTCGGTTTTCCTGTTAGAAAAATGCGGCTAGTGAAACTTAACTCCCAAGGTAGTAAGAAGTAAAGAAGTTAACAATGGTACTAAGCCTAACAAGTAGGAGGCACTGCAACTAAGGTCTATTCCATTTTCCCTTCTTGTTAATTCTCTTTCTTTCATAAATGCAGCATAAAGCGGAGGCATCATGGTGGGAAGATACTTCTCCTGGATGCTATGGAAAATTAATGAGGCGAAATGGTAAACTCATTAAGGTATTCATTTCTTTATTCATTAATAAATTATTAATCCATTTCTTCATTCATTTATCCATTCATCAATGGTTTATACATTCTTTCATACATTTATGAGATATATACTCACTGCAAAATATCATAGTGAACATTGGGGAAATCCAAAAGGGTAGCACAAAGCTCAAGCTCAGTGTTTTCTGGTAGAGGAGAGAGCCATGGAAATTACAAGGTGGAGGGTGATGAGTGACATAGACATATTTATTTATTTATTTACTTATTTATGCTGAGGAAGATTCACCCTGAGCTTACATCTGTTACCAATCTTCCTCTTTTTGCTGAGGAAGATTTGCCCTGAGCTAACATCTGTTGCCAATCTTCCTCTTTCTGCTGATGCAGAGTTGCCCTGAGCTAACATCTGTTGCCAATCTTCCACTTTTTGTATGTGAGCCGCCGCGACAGCACGGCCACTGACAGATGACGGGTGTAGGTCTGTGCAGGGAACAGAACCCAGGCCGCTGAAGCGGAACACACTGAACTTAACCACTAGGCCAGTGGGGCTGGCCCCAGACATTTTTAAATTAAGGACTGTGGCAGTGCAGAATAGGGAGGATAGCACAGGCCATGTGAAAAGTGCAAGAGAATCAGCAGCATTTGTGTTGGGACTTGAAGAGTGGTAGCTCTGGGATTTTTGAATAAGAGGAACTTTGGAGCAACAATCTGATAGACAGGAGCAAGGGTATTTCTTTTGAAGCTATGCTTGCATAACAAAAACACCATGTTAGGAAGTTTATTACAAATCAATATGAGCTCAGTTTTTAAGGATGCTTTTTTCAAACCTTTCTTCCAGAAATTAGAAAAATTTTTAAAAATCTTATATGGTATTTCTTTTGTCTTTTTACTTATTTGCCAGAAAATTTATAATAGTTATTGTTTTTAGTTAGCTGGCTGTATTAGTCAGGTTGGGCTGCCGTAACAAAATACCACAGACTGGGTGGTTTAAACAACAGAAGACAGTTTCTCACAGTTTGGGCCCTCCAAGATCAGGGTGCTAGCGCAGTGGGTTCTGGTGAGAGCTGTTGTCCTGGCTTGCAGACAATAGAAAGAGAGCTCTGGTGTCTCTTCCTTTTCTTATAAGGGCACTGGTTCTATTGTATCAAGGCTCCACCCTTACAATCTCATTTAACCTTACATTGGGAGTCAGGGCTTCAACAAATGAATTTTGTGGGGACGCAATTCAGTCCACAGCAAGAGCTGACAGAAGTTCACCTCTTGGTGCTTTCTCTACCTTGAAACACGAATATGATTCCATTTGAAAACACATTGGAGAGGTAACAGGGGCAGCACGATCGGCTTTACCCAGTAATGGTTCAGAGTTGTCACAGTTAA